AAGTGGTTAAGGCGCTGAACTGCAGGCTGTGGAAGGTCGGTAGTTCAGCAGTTCGAGACCCGAATTGCCGCATGACGGAGTGAGCTCCCATCTCTAGTTCCAGCTCCTGCCAACCTAGCCGTTCGAAAGCAAGAAATTGCAAGTAGATAAATAGGTACCACTTCGGTGGGAAGGTAACAGCGTTACGTGCGCCTTGGTGTTTAGTCATGCCGGCCACATGACCACGGAAACGTCTTCAGACAGCGCTGGCTCTTCGGTTTGGAAACGGAGATGAGCACGCAACCCTAGAGTCGGATTCGACTGGCTTTCAAGCAGTGTTCCCTGTAAGCTGAGTGAGTGCGAGCCAGCTCACAGTTTTTTAGCCTCCGGCTCACATTTTTGTCTTCGCTTAGGAAGGAGGGCTCCAGAGCAAACTAAGTTATGCAGTAGCCGAATCACTCACTCACAGCTTTAATGCCCAGCAGCTCACAAAATAGAATTTTTGCTCACAAGACTCTACAGCTTAGAGGGAACATTGCTTTCAAGCAGGGGAACCTTTATCTTTAGGCAGAGTTATACCTTTCAAAGTTCATTGAAGTCATTGGGCTTAGAAGGGTGTAACTTGAGTCAAGAAGCAAAGTACTAACTCTTTCCGGTCTGTATAGTAGAATAATCAGTGAGGAGCCTGAAACGATACTAATTTTGCTTTTAAATAGTTTTACTAATACAGATTTGCATTCAGTGTCTTGTGGGGGAGCTAAAGCACAGCTGGCATTGGCTTGCTTCTGTGTCATTGTAGTACCGGTAGCACTAGGACTCTTCTGGGATTTGTCAGAGAGTTCCATTCCTGTCCCAACATCTTTCGCTTACTCAAAACAGTACAGTTTTCTTGAGATGCAGATACTGAAAAAATACCAAATTCAAACCAGCAGTTGTGTTACGCTGCGCTTACACTAAACGTAAGGGGTACAGATGCGTGCCAGACTCTCCTTGGTGGGGAGGTTCACCAAGTGCCATCAGCTCACAGCCAACGTTTGGCGACCTTGTAAGGTTTTCAAGGCAGGAGATGAGCGGAGCTGGTTTGCCATGGCCTGCCTCTGCGTAGCAACCCTGGACTTCCTCGGTGGTCTCCCATCCACGTCCTAACCAGGGCTGACCTTGCTTAGCTTCCAAGATCTGATGAGTTCAGGCTAGCCTGGGCCATAGACTATCCTTGGTGTGATTTAATGTAGGTGTTTTTTTGTTGGGTACGTCAAAGACTTGCAACTTGATTTACTTTGCCATTCTGATCATCCTCATCTTTTTAAAAACTATTGTCCCTTTTCTAATGCAGTCTTAACTTGCTTAAAAGCAGTAGCCAGGATTACCAGTTCTGGTTCCTTGGAAAACTGAGCATTTTGCAACGATTTTGTTTCTTCTTTCACAGGCCCATACCTTTTGGCTTTGAGGCTAGTTCTCTAGTGGCATACTACCATGCTTGGGATACTTATTCACGTTCATCAGCATTTGTCCCCCAAAAAAGTATTTTGTATGGGCACTCCAGGAAAAAAGGTTCTGCCATTTAAAATGAAAATGGTGATTCCTTTGTGAGCAAGGTGACAATGTTGATTTATGTGCCTTTTAGAATAAGTTTCAGCGGCATATTCCTCCTTGATTTTTTTTTGGGGGGGGGGCTGTTGCATCTGCTGATTTCACATGGCATGAAACTGGTCCTTCCAGCTTCATGTGGGCCATTCTGGGTCCAGTTTTGTCTGAAAGTATGGCAATGCATCTTGATAATCGCCATACTCACGAGGAAAATTCATCGTCCCAATGTTCCCCTTCAGCGCAACAATATTGGACATGGTGATTTCAGCTGTGGATTTACCACCAGTAATAGAAATATTTCCATAATCAAAGGCATGAATCAGCTGAAGCTCAGCCTTTTCCAAATCCCTTTTTTGTCCATGGTAGCATTTCTCCCATTGAAATCAATGTTACATAAAAATGCTTAGCGTTGGCTGTTTCAGGCCATAATTGCCTTCACAAATTGCTTAGTGGAATTTTGCAAGATGTATTGGAGAAGCAAAATTCCATATCACAGTGAAATCTATGTATCAGACACTTGAGTTGTCACATTCAGTACATTGTTATCTTCTCACCAGAGAATCAACTACTTGGAACAAAACTTTAAAACAAGTGTTTGTGCTGCTTCTGCAACTAAGCGCATTAAAAAAGGGAATAGTTAATAACATGCTTTTTTTTTTCAATCTGTAAAATACCATGCGCCAGTTATTTTGGAAGTAGCTCTTTGTTTAACATGTTTATTTTTGCATGTAATGTATTTTTATTTTAGAAAATGTGCTTGTTGTAAGTTTAAAATGTCTGATCTGCTAATACATTTTCAAAAGTGGAAACTACTTTAGGCAGCACGGTCTGCTTAAAAATAAGCATTTTGATCCTCCTAATGTTAACAGTGGCTCTCCTTCTCTTTTCTCATAGTTTATCTGATTTAGTTTTCCCTCATGCAGAATGAACATATACACTGATATATGAACTTTTGTCTGAGTAAAAAACTACAGGTCTTGATAAGTCTTGTCTGAGTAAAAACTACAAATCTTGAGAGCCAGTTTGGTATAGTAGTTAAGTGCGCGGACTCTAATCTGGGAGAACCGGGTTTGATTCCCCACTCCTCCACCTGCAGCTGCTGGATGACCTTGGGCAAGCCGTAGTTCTGATAAGAGCTGTTCTTGAAAAAGAGCAGTTTCTGTCAGAGCTCTCTCAGCCCCACCTACCTCACAGGGTGTCTGTTGTGGGGAGGGGAAGGGAAAGGGGTTTGTAAGCCGCTCTGAGACTCCCGAGTGAAGGGCAGGGTATAAATCCAATCTCTTAATTCTCTTCAGTAGCTCACAAATAATCCTTCCTGTTCTATTTCTGTCTCGTGTCAGTTGTTCAATAAATGTTTTCCTCAATGTACATTCCAGCAAATACCTTTACCATAGCATTTGAAAACATGAAGGTGCTTAAATTTTGTTTTGCTTATTTTGTCATGAAATATTTTAATGCAGATTGCCGTATTAATATTCAAAACGTTCACCTGCTGCGTGGTCGTGCGTCACGCAGTTAAACTTGCGAAAATGAGTCTTACCACATTCCATCTATTGTGCAGTGCCGATCTCCCCATCTATTCTGCAGTGCCGATCCAGGCCCATTTAACTGGCTCAGTGCAGCTCTGTGATGCATGTCAGGAGTGGACACTAAGATGATAGTCCATGTTTTAGATCTTCTGACATTACCCCCCTCAATTCTCTCTGGCGGCTGTGGTGGCTTTCCTCCGCTGTGGCGCTCCCTTCCTCTGCCAGTAGCACTTCCGCATGCATCTGAGGTCCTTGAAGCACATTGGTCTTGCATGTATGGAAGGGCCAATGCCAGACAAAGTGAGCACCACAGCAGAGGAAAGCCTCCAAATTAGTTTTTAGAAGATTATTTCCACAACCTTGTAAAAATCTCAGAGCGAATTCTTTTAAACTATATTTAGACTATATTTTAAGTATAATTTAAACATTATAATGGAAAACAGAATCAAATCAAATTTCATTGCAGAAGATGTTGTCCTCTATAGGGGTAGGCCAGGCCTCTGGAGAACAGGTCTACCTGCCCTTTCCACTATATTGGTAGACCTGGTCTCCGAAGAATAGGTCTACCCTCATCTTTCCACTATATTGGTAGACCTGGCCCTCCAGAGAACAGGTCTACCTATCCCAGTCCAATATGTTGGTAGACCTGGCCTTGGACCGTCACCCTGCGCCTTACAAAACATACCAGCACTGGGGGGGGGGGGTCTTGCAGTCTACTCTGGGTGGGGTTTTTTTTAGTTAAATGTGACAAATTTACAGGTCAAGTATAACAGAAGTGGAGCAATTACTGTCAGAACCATGCCTAACTTAACAAACAGAAAGTTGCTTAAATGTTCTCAACCTGCCCAAACTACTTATTTATTCAAACATCCCACTTTTCCTGTGACTCAAGGCATCTTACAAATCATACTGAAAAGCATAATAGGGGTGTGCAAAAATATTTTTTCTGGCTCCATTATAGCCTATGGTGATCATCATAGTAAATGAGCCCCATAGGCTATAATGGAGAATTAATCTGGGGTTATGGGGGGGGTGTTTTTCGAGGTAGTGGCACCAAATTTGCAGCATAGCTGCTGGTGTCTCTCCTCAAAAAAACTCCCCAAGTTTCAAAAAGATTGAACCAGGGGGTCCAATTCTATGGGTCCCAGAAGAAGGTGACCTCATCCTCCATTGTTTCCAATGGTGGGAAAGTGCTTGTGAACTGGAAGCTACAATGTTTGAGCAGGAACTAAAGTTTTGTGCACCAGCACCCCCTAGAGCAGCTTAGGGGGAACACTGGTCACAGCCAAGTTATGGTCTTGGACCAGAACCATGTCAGTAGGTGCCATAGTGCCTACAGGCATCATACTGGGGCCCTCTATCTTAGAATGTAGGACCTGATTCTTTGCAAGTCAGTTGGCAAGCTGTACGTATGAAATGACAGAATAATGGAGGAACTACTTGTGTTAGACTCAATCGAAGACTCTTCATGAAAGTAAAGATTGTAGGACCTGGAAAACACTAAAGAATTAATAAAATGTTAGCGATATCTGGACATCAAGGAGATTTTGTTAATAGTGCTCATACTTCCTTCTCTAAAGGATCGGTGTGCAATCCCATTGGCAGTTCCGTAAAAAGACACCTTGAAATAGATCAAAAGTCTTCTCCTTCACACTTCTTTCAGTAGAAATGTGTAACCGTGACCGATGGCCCAACACTTTCTGGGATGCAAGCTTATAGCAAGTTTTGTTTAATTACTTTCTGTTGTAGTTGTACTATCTCAAAAGTAACCAATGCACAATAGTGCCTAATAATAGTTAAAGCAGTGGCTAGTCTTTGGTGAATTCCTGGTCAGGAGCCTAATTACTATTACAAGAGTCTGTGAATTTGCTTAATAATGCCCTTTCGTTGTTGTCTTTTGTGCAGACCGGTTTGGCCTTGGACAGCCAGGCAGGTTGCCTGCCTCTGTGAGTGCAATGCGAGTCCTCAGCACAAGCACCGATCTCGAGGCTGCCGTCGCTGATGCACTGGTAAGATGGAAAACACACTGCTTCCAACACCAAGAAGTCACTTAGAGTTGCCTCCTGTATGTATGTCCTTTCTTCTTGATTTATAACTGTTCTTGTAATGTGCTGGTGTATGACCCTGTCTAAATGGTTTTTGGGGGGATATATGTGAATACTACACTAATGCTCTGTGAATACTACACTATGCTCTGTCCAGCGGACAGAGTTGCTGTGATAACCGCCATTGGTGTTGAGAAGATTGCTTGAAGGAGTTGGGAGCTTGTAGTCTGAAATGTATGCAAGATGTTAAAAAACTAAACAGTTTTAACCTGACCTCTTTTATGCAGAAGTCAGTCTCCTCAATTTTGGCTTAACTAATTCCATGTAAAGTGCAGCTAAAGTCTGCAAACTATCTGTTGTGTTTAACATTAGGTACCATGTAGCTGTTTTTCTCAGGAGGCTCTAATATGTTTTCCTGAGGGTTTTAGATTCATGATCCCTGTGTCTGTCATGGCTTTCCTTGATGGTGTCTTGCTTGTGGGTCTCAAATCAGATGTGCTTTGCTTCGTGCATTATACTTCCCTCTTTGAAGAGTTCCCTTTTTCCTGTGGAAACGCCTGTCTAGAGTAATTGCCCTGTTCTTGTCCCAGGAAAAGTGGTGAAGGAGAAGATCCTTGTAGCTTTAGAGGTGTAAGGATTCCTGCTAGATTCTAAATATTCCTGATTTAATTCACATGTGGTAGGTGCTGCTCTAAAAGTTAGCAAAACTATACTGAATTTTTGTTCAGTCTGAAGGCAAGAAAATACACATGTTAGTTTATATATTTGCTAGCTATTCCCCAAAGATTGCTGTATTGACAGGAAACAGGAAAGGATTAGTAATTGCCCAACAAAGGATTGTGTAACTATAACCTAGGTCAGTGGTGGCGAACCTATGGCACGGGTGCCAGAGGTTGCACTCAGAGCCCTCTCTGTGGGCACGCGTGCCATCGCCCCAGCCAGGCCCAGACCATCATTAAAGTGTGGAATTCTCTGCCAAATAATTTTAAGTAAGTGAAAGCATTTGGGGTTGCTTTCCTTACTTTGTTTGGATCCTCTTAAGTTAGTGTATGAGTTGGTTTTTCTAAAGTAAAACCTCAGTATTCAGGTTAAATTGCCGTGTTGGCACTTTGCGATAAGTAAATGGGTTCTGGGTCACAATTTGGGCACTCGGTCTCTAAAAGCTTCGCCATCACTGACCTAGGTGATGGCAGTTCTGAGAATCAGGGTGACATCAAAGACCCTTGAGGATTGTTTTTGCCATATTGCTTTTAGAGTTTAAATTCCTGTTGATGAACCAACATAGCAGCTTTTGAGCAAATTTGGGCATTACGAACATGTGTTGACAATGCATGTATCAGTGACTCAGGCTTCTCTTTTCAGCACTTTTTACCTAACACGGACACCTATTACACAGGAAGAAATAACCCGTTTCACACCTTCTGTCACCATTTATTTATATCCCCCAAAGCTGTTGTCTTTCTGTTCTCTGCACTATGGAAGAGTCTTTCATTCATATCTTTGAAGATCCAAAACATTATGACCTCAAAAACTGGAATACACTGTAGGAAACCCTGGTGATCCAAACTACTATGGTGGTGAGAGGATCAATAGCAATTAAAATACCTTGAGCCACCTTTGTGCATCCTTCCTCTTGGATAGGACTTCCCTGCTGCCATCCAACTGGGTACATACAACAAGTACCGTGCACAGATGATTATAACATATCATAAATAATTTTATATCTTTTGAAAAATATTTTTTCAATAATTTCTGCATATATAATTAATCATCTTAATCACAATTCACAATATAAGAGATATCAGAAATATCAGATATCAAGACAGAGCACATGTTATAAAGAGACTTTAAGGAATCCTCCCTTTTGAAACTTTCATTTAACAGAGGATGACTATGATTAATTATAAGGTTGTACAATAGCTTTTGAGATTCTTGGAGATGATATCTGATATTTTTGATATCTCTTATATTGTGAATTGTGATTAAGATGATTAATTATATATATGTAGAAATTACTGTAAAAATATTTTCCAAAAGATATAAAATTATGATATGTTATAATCATCTGTGCACAGTACTTGTTGTATGTTGGTTATCCAACTGGGTACTGCATAATTTTCAGCTGTCCTCTCTCTTCTCCGTCGTGAGTGTGTGTCAGCCACTGCTTCCACATTCACTTGCCCACGTAAATGGTGGCAGGTTTTCCTCTCCAGCTACTGGTTGTGACACCTGCTCCCCAGCACTGTCAGCTGTTCCCTTACTCATCCACCTTGGTATGTGGGCGAGGCTGGGACCAGTAGCGCCAGCCACCTCACTTCCCTGCCTTTTCTCTCTTTCTTGGATCTGAGTGGCAGCTCCCAACTCCTGTTGGCTTGCATGTTCCCTCCTCGCTTTGGGGACATTGTGGGCTCGACACATGGCTAACCGGCAGCAGTGGTAAGGCAGCAATGGGGAGCAGCTGCTGACAGTGCCAACGTCTTCTTCAGGAGATTCTTGACATCCACAGAGCATTTCTGTACTGTAGGTATGTAGGGTCTCTTCTGATGATGACATTGTGGGCTCGACACATGGCTAACCAGCAGCAGTGGTAAGGCAGCAATGGGAGCAGCTGCTGACAGTGCCAACATCTTCTTCAGGAGATACTTGACATCCACAGAGCATTTCTGTACTGTAGGTATGTAGGGTCTCTTCTGATGATGTCCTCACAGAGCACTGTGTCGTGGATGTGCAGATCCAGCTGACTCTGTAGTGATTCTCCAAAGCCTTATTTAGTGATGAGAGTGCCGTGTGCTGTGCCCCTGTGCCTCAGCTAGTCAGCGTCAAATAGTGGGCCTGAACAGAAAGTTGAAAGAGAATAGAGTCCCTTGTGCATAACTGGTGTCTCAGTGCTTACTGTGCACTCGTGCTCCTTGCCCACCTTCCCTCAGCTCCTCCACACCGTGAGGTTGGATTCTCATATTTCTTCTGGTTTCTGCAGTCGACAGGGATGGAAGGAGCAATAAAAACAGCTAAGCGATTGCCCTGTGCTCTGGCAAATCTGTAGGTTGTAGTAAAATGTTTCCTCGGATCTCCATTCTAGCGATGGAATGGAGAATTTGCTCAGTTGGCCAAAGTTCCAAGTATCAGACTTGAGTTCACTTTTCCATCCATTTCCCACCAAGTTTAAGGGGACTGCACAAGACAGCCTGAAACAGTTGAGTGGCAGGGAGCACCTCCCCGCCGCTCAGCTGTTTTTGCAGCTTTCACAGGGAACAGAAAGCAGGAGTTTAAAGGGACTCAGAGTCCCTTTAAACCCCTGCTTTCTGCTCTATCCATGAATTGCCATGAACTGCTTTAAAATGTATGATGGTAGACCCGTAACAAGCTTTGGTTCACAAACCACAAACAGTGGTTTGGTTTGCGACCATCCCTAGCTATTACACTAACTCTTATCTTAAGGTATACATTTAAAACCTCCTAAAACCTCAGTTATTCAGCATGATCCTCTCTGCTCGTAGTTCCCTTTTGCTCTTGGCTTTAGACACCCCTGTTATTTTTGAAGCCAGTTCCTGCCTGTTCCCCTTTCTTGCTGAAAATATGCGATCCAGCAGCCTTGATCACAGAAGGAGCATTCTTTCACACCAAATGTCTGAAGTAGAAACGTTGTTCAAAAATGCTTTATCCCCACCAATCAAGGCCTCAGCACAAACTCTGCAAGTCAAATTCTCTCTCCTAAAATGTGCTTATTTCTGTACCTGTAAAAGAAGATCTCTGAACCTCATTTGAAGAAGCCAACTAAGGACACGAACAACAAACCTGAACCGAATGTAAAGCTCTCCATCCCCCCAAAAGCCTTGTTGATCTGCTGGTCATGGGGAAATATGGGAAACTTTGAGATGAAGAGATTAGAGATGTGGAGGAGGGAAAAGTGAGCTAGTTGGTTGTAAAAGAGGGGCTGAAATCTTGGAAGCAGTTGTGTATTTGACAGGCTTCAATGAAAAAGAAATGTATTGGTTACTTTGAATTTAGTTATATGAGTCCATAAAGTGTCCTAACATAGTCTAGGATGTGATATCTGCAGGCCTGTCTTTGAATGCCACCCTGAGGACAGACAGAAGCTTAGAGGTAGCACTTCAGTTATTTCTCCTAAATGTTACAGAAATGTCACTTGCCACAAGGTGGGGAGACAACTGTTAGTGAAGACAGAATGCTGAACATACATTATCTGTGCAAGAGCTCTCCCAAAAACGACTTAGCTTGCAGCAGGAGCAGAAGAGTATAGGCTTGCCAAGTCCCCCCGGGGGGCGGGGAAACCCCCACCCCAGAGGCCCGTTCCCCATCGCCGGTGGATCAGGCCCCGGGGGGAACCCCACCCCGGCGTGTGCCTCACCAGGAAGTGACGTTATGACGCCAGGCACACTGGGGGCGGGGCCACGGTCATCCGAGGGAAAACTATGGTTTTCCCTCGGATGGTCGTCTAGCCGCAGACCGGGACTCCCCCGGTAAGGAGATTTTTCTACTTGGCAACCCTAGAATAGTAATTAGTTTGATGTCATGCGCTGCCATTTTAATTTTGTGTTGCTTGATATAAAAGTGGCTGAATTTTATTTTTTATTTGCTAAGGCACATTTGCTTGTACTTTTTTGTTGCAAGAACAATCCCTGCATAAGCTTCTGACATAATTCTCTATGCTTTCTCCCACCCGTCAATATTTTCCTGCATACAGCTGTTAGGAGACTCCAGGAGCAAGGTACCAGTGCTAACTTGACTTTTTTTTCTTCATTCTTTTTTCTTTTCTTTTTTGTTTTTGTACTTTCCAAGGGTTTTTTTTTGCTTGCCCTGTTCTAAAACTATCAGAGTTCATATGTGGAATTCTGTCATTCTGCATAAATTAATTTTGCAGTGTTCACTTAAGATGAATAATGGTGGATGTTCTCTGTGCTTTTTAAAAGTTGAGGTACTGAACCAAGAACACCCAAATTCTGCAATGGGTTTGAGCATATGTGTCTTTACACTTTTTAAAATGTAGGTTTTCAAACTATTGAGATTGTGGGGCAAGTATGAGAAGGCAGAAGGGAATGAAGAATGGAAAACAAAATAAAATAAACATTTGATGGCTATTACAATATTATATATTATAGGCCCATAATATATATCAGGGGGTCTCCAATATGCTGCTTGTGGGCATCCATCGGGGCTATTGTAAATGTTTACAGTGTTTCCTGCTTTAAATTGTAAGCCCTGCGTCCCAGGAAAACATCCTTCTATTTTGACTACTGCTTTGAGTCCTATTGTAAATCCCGAATGGGGTTGGATTATTGCTTTGATCTGAAGAAGAATATTTAGAAAAGGGGAAAATAACAAATTCAGAAACCTCTTTATCACCAACATGGCTTTATTTGGATAAATTCACAACTTCTACTCTACATTATAGGGGCTATATTATAGGGACAAAACGGCTACAGTGTTGTTCTAGGCATTAAAGCCCTATGTTCTCATCACCAATTAGGCTAGGTGAGCTCTGACCACCCATTTCCTAGTCTTTCTTCTCTGGGATGAGGACTAGAGCATTACTTTTAAACGGGGCTCTTTTTGTAGCAGGAACTCCTTTGCATATTAGGAACTCCTTTGCATATTGACTCAACAGGGTTCCCTGAACTAGAGCTGCCTGCTGTGATTGGGGTCTGAGCCAGTGTTCCCTCTAAGCTGAGTTAGTGTGAGCTAGCTCACAGATTTTTAGCCTCCGGCTCACAGATTTTTGTCTTAGCTCAGGAAGGAGAGCTCCAGAGCAAACGCATGTATGCAGCAGCCACATCACTCACTCACAACTTTAATGCCAGTAGCTCACAAAGTTGAGTTTTTGCTCACGAGACCCCACAGCTTAGAGGGAACACTGGTCTGAGCTTGGCAATAATTTCAGCCATGCCTCCGCCAGGGCATGCTCATCTTTCTCCATTCCACACCTGCATTACCTTTATTGATATATGATGGAATCACTTAAGAGCAATGCTCCCTCTAAGCGATGGCTTCTTGTGAGCAAGAATTCTACTTTGTGAGCTACTGGCATTCAAGCTTGCTCTGGAGCCATCCTTCCTGAGCTAAGACAAAAATGTGTGAGCCGGAGGTTTAAAAAAACTGAGAGCTAGCTCACACTGACTCAGCTTAGAGGGAACACAGCCTAAGCGTTCATTTTAACGTAACAAATTATGTAATGGAATTGTCTCATTTACTCTACAGTAAAGAAATAGCCATTTGCAGTCAAAGCAGTGTGCTGTTTCGTAAGACTTTGCATGACATAGCTGTTCATTTATCTGGCCTGCTTGGTATTCAGCGAGGGTCCTGATCTACCTTAAGTGTGAAACTTTTGTGTTGTAATTACTAAAAAAGTGCCCAATGTGCTGCTTGATCGATACGTAGTTTTGGCTTCAGTGAAACAATGTAAAATGTATTAAGTTCAGGGTTTCTTTTCCTTCCCCAGAAAAAGCCGGTGAGACGAAGATATGAGCCGTATGGGATGTATTCTGATGATGATGCAAACAGTGATGCATCAAGTGCTTGCTCAGAACGTTCCTATGGGTCCAGAAATGGAGGCATCCCACACTACCTGCGACAGACGGAGGATGTGGCCGAGGTCTTGAACCACTGTGCTAGTTCCAACTGGTCTGAAAGGAAAGAGGGGCTAATAGGTCTACAGAACTTACTGAAGAGCCAGAGGACATTGAGGTGATTGTTTTAATAAAGTCAAGACAATCCAAGATTGGGAAAGCTAGTGTAGGTCTGTAGTCTTAAAGGTGATCAGCTGGTGAGTTTTAATTTATAGACTGTGATTTAACTGTTTTGCCTGATCCATCTGGTTTATTTTGCTAGCTATTCTTTGAATTACATAAACCAATTTATAATCCAATTGATCTATTGTGTGTTAAGATTGGGCTGGGGGGGGAAGTGGGATTCTACAGGATTCTAATGTTGGCCAATGGGACTCCTCAGACTTGTATTTCTGAGAAGTAGGGATGCACATGAACCACATTTTTGCAGTTTGGTTTGGTTCATGGGGAAGAGCTGCGGTGGCTCAAGTGGTTAAGACACTGAACTGCAGGCTGTGGAAGGTCGGTAGTTCAGCAGTTCGAGACCCAAGTGTGCCGCATGACAGAGTGGGCTCCCGTCTCTAGTTCCAGCTCCTGCCAACCTAGCAGTTCGAAAGCAAGAAATTGCAAGTAGATAAATAGGTACCACTTCGGTGGGAAGGTAACAGCGTTCCGTGCGCCTTGGTGTTTAGTCATGCTGGCCACATGACCACAGAAATGTCTTCGGACAGCGCTGGCTCTTCGGCTTTGAAGCGGAGATGAGCACCGCAACCCTAGAGTCGGACTCGACTGGCTTTCGAGCAAGGGAACCTTTACGTTTACTTTTGGTTCATGGAGTCATGTTAATTGTGTAATAATAGCAAAGAATATAGCACAGGGAGTTGTAGGTAGCACAAAGAGGCCTTCAGTATATTATTTATTCCAGTGAGATGCTTAGATATTGTTTAAGGAATTTCAATGGCTTATAGAGGCCTTCAGTATAAAATAAGTTCATCTTCATGGCTTCTGTGCAGTCCCACATGGGGGACTGTGCATGCGCAGGCCAGGCACGGAAAAGATTTCCAAACTTTCTAATACAGTAGGATTGCCCCTCCTCCCTCTGGCTGCCAAAACGATCACATGATTAATAGGAGGGTGCTACTCCCTCAGTTCTCTTTTTGCCACCACGGAGAGAGGATCTCCACTGCTGTTTGAGGCTGAGAACATTTATTTCTCTCATAAGTTTTTGTCATCGATACTCATTCTAATTAAGAATAAATGACATTTAAAGAAGAAATGTTTCTGGGTTTCTACTGTGTCATTATGGCTCAAAACGAGTCTCCTCAGGATTGGACCAACTGTCAATGGTCATTCTCTGTGCTGTAACTGCCTATGGATTCACACAACAGAGCTCTTTTCAGTGACTGTGGCTACGCGCCAGCCTGAATAAAGGCACAATCCCCCCTCAGTGTGGAGGTGTGGTGAGACAGAGCCTTGGGTTTACCTGTTCTTTTCAAAGGCTTCAGCTTTGTGGCAGCCTGAATGAATGCACAGTCCTCCTCTAGTGGTGAGGTGTGCTGAGACAGAGACTCAGAGGAGCTCTTTTCAACAACTTTGGCTATGCACCAGACTGAATAAAGGCACAATCCTGAGATGATGTGTTATGACAGAGCCTTGGACTCACTGGCTCTTTTCAAAGGCTTTGGCTTCACGCCAGCCTGAATAAAGGCACAGTCCCCCTCCAGTGGTGAGGTATGCTAAGAGACAACCTCAGATTCACTGGCTCTTTTCAAAGGCTTCAGCCGCACATCAGCCTGAATGATGGGGCATCCCCTTACTTGATTTTGTCTGCGCTGAGGGGGGAAGCCTGGAGGTGTTGCCTGTCAGAGCCTCTGATTCAATGGCCCCAGCACACCGACATCGATTTGATGTCGGGACCACCTACCCAGGACCTAGCTTGACACACGAGATATCTTATAATATCTAATGGGAGCCACACGAGAAGATATGTGTATATGGGTAGTTAGAAACCTTGAGTTAGTGATTTACAGAGAAAAGAAGGTTGAATTTACAGTTTCAGGTTTCAGTAACTGGAAGAAGGTAAACTGATAAACTCTGCTCAAACTCTTTTCCAGACATCCTAATGAACTCTATAGCCAAAATATGGTTGCTTATGTCAAATCATATCTCAGAGTCCCCCCTCAGCAATACATGCACATGTTCCTGCCTGACTTGGCATTCTTCTTGCTTTGCCTTTTGGGGTTTTTTGAGGAAAACGTAGTAAAGCAATATCTAAATAGAGGCAAGTTCAGATAGGTAACCTGCCTAAACATTTGTGATAATGTACCTGAATGCCACTGCAATATGTTTTGTGCTCACTGTTGTGGTAGTAGAGAGAAATATCATATTCTAAGAATTGTCTTTGGCACTATAAGTCACAACAGATTTCCTTGTCATATTTTCCAGATATCCTATGTTCATTCTTAAGCAATGTCTTTTGTGTGTTTGTGCATTTCAGCCGGGTTGAGTTGAAGAGGCTATGTGAAATCTTCACACGTATGTTTGCAGACCCTCACAGCAAGGTAAAATCGTAAACATATCTTTAAGATACACTGTTTTTTGAACAGTTGTATGTTCTTGTGAATTTGATTAGTACTATATTATTATACTACTAGGAATAAGGCCCGTTGTGGGAATAAATACAACAACCTCTAGAAAGAAGCTCTGGGCAGGTGCCCTAGCCTTGGGCAATTTGCTGTGGTGACCTCAGCAGGATATAATGACACAGAGCTTACCATTTTCTCCAGGGGAACTGATCTCTGCCATCTGAAGAGCAGTTGTAATTCTGAGTGATCTCCAGCCCTCCCCTGGAGATTGGCAGCAGTGGTTCACCAGGAGGAAATGGCTGGTTTGGAGGGTGGAGTCTATGCCATTGTACCTGTTTGAGGGCACCCCTCCTCAAACCCCAGCCTCTCCAGGCTCCACCCCTCAAATTTCCAGGAATTTCCCAACCTAGAGTTGGCAACCCTGTCTCCTTCCCATCCAACCATCAACCTACCTTTATCTGCCCTTCTGAATTCAGCTTTCCATCATCCCTCCCATTACTTGGAGCCTCTACCTAGGAAAAGTACAGTATTTCATCGCAGTGGAGACCCAAGCAGGAGGGAAGCGACCTCATCAAGGTATAATGACACCACCCTTCAAAGCATCCGTTTTCTCCAGGGAAACTGAGCTCTGCCATCTGAAAAGCAGTTGTAATTCTAATAGTTCCCCAGGAGGAAATGGCGGGGGTTTTTTGGGGGGGGGGTCTATGGCATTGTACCTGTCTGAGGTCCCACCCCTCCTCTACCCCTCAAACCTCCAGGAATTTCTCAACTTGGAGGTGGCAACCCTATCTCCTTCCCAGCAAACCATCAACCTACCTTTATCTGCCCCTCTTGACTTCAGTTTTCCATCTCCCCACCACCACCTGCAGTCTCTACCTAGGAAAAGTAGTCTTTCTCTTTAGTGGAGACCCAAGCAGAAGGGAAGCAACCTCAGCAGGGTATAATGACACACAGTCCACCCTGCAAAGCAGCCATTTTCTCCAGGGAAACTGAGCTCTGCCATCTAGAGAGCAGTTGTAATTCTGAGTGATCTGCAGCCCGCACCTGGAGAATGGCAGCAATGGTTCCCCAGGAGAAAATAACTGCTTTGGGGGGTGGACTCTGTGGCGTTCTATTCAGCTGAGGTCTCTCGCTTCCCCAAACCCTGGCTTCCGTAGACTCCACCACAAAATCTCCAGAAATTTCTCAATCTGGAGCTGGCAACCCTAGTCAGGACTGGTCCCAATGAGGTCCCCACAAAGTCCTGGAAAGGGCCTCCTAGCTTTGCCTTTTTATTGACAGAACCAAGCTTGGTTGCCTAGCAACAGCCACTGAGGGAAAAGTTAGTCCCATAGGAGCCAAGCAGGAGAAAGGTCTTTGTCAGTTTATTCTGACAGGTCTTTGCCAGTTTATTCTGACAGGGAACAGTGGCTGAGATGGCAGTGAGCGGGGAAGAGGAGCAGACCCAGCCCCCAGCCAGTGGCACGCAAGTACTCTTGATTGGCAGTTGATGGACCAATAGCTGACAGAGTCCACAGCCCAGCCAATGGGAGAGCTGGAAACTGCCAGTGTGTTAGGGCAATTATATATATCAGATTATTGAAACTTCAGTTCTCTTAACGCTGTGATGACTTATGTTTTGAAATAGGTTTTGCTTTGGGTGAACTTTTCCTAGATTTTCTTAGTGAACGGCTTATAAATTTAATCAATCAATCAATAACTAGTGCAAACAAGGCCAAGATATTTTAGTAATTCTTAAATACAGCTTGTAGTCAGCGCAAAATAGGGAAGTTCTTTAAATGAGAATTATGCAAACAGGAAACGATCTAAGGTGGAAAAGATATCTTAATACGTAATGATATGGTGTTTTGAAAGATGTTGCTTGCATGAGTGCAGAGATAGGCAAGAGTTTTATTTTGTTTCTTAAAGAACCTTCAGAACTATGGTTAAATATTCTTTCTCAAAAGTTGTCAAACTTTCCATGAATGTTTACGTTATCTGTGGGGTTTTTGGGGGGAGGGGTAATGCCATAGAGCAGTACCTTCAATTATTTGTGTTTATGTACTAATGAAAGGTTTGTTTTGTTGCATGGCCTGCTTTGCGGTGGAATTCACAACAGAGAGTAAGTGTATTCTCCTTCCTCCTCCTAAACCTCACCTCTTTTATCTATTTAATATGGCATATCCTGGAAATTTACGGTGCTAACATGAGCTCCAAGAGCGTCCTTCTTTAAGCAGATTTCACAAACTTTTTCTTTTGATCATGTGTGCGTTATTTTTAAACCATGTTTCCCCCCCCCTTTTGATTTCTGTATGGCCTATAGGTTTTCAGCATGTTTCTTGAAACCCTGGTAGACTTCATCATTATTCACAAGGATGATTTGCAAGACTGGCTTTTTGTCCTCCTGACACAGTTACTGAAGAAGATGGGAGCGGACTTGCTGGGATCAGTACAGGCCAAAGTGCAGAAAGCTCTGGATGTAACAAGGTAGTCTGTCCATGAACAGCAATGCATAGCTTGTAAACCTTCCTGTTTACTTTCAGTTAATATTTTAGGAAGCCTGAACCATTCTTCTAGACCAGGGGTCCCCAACCTGCGTACCGTGGGCTGCGTGCAGCCCTGAGCTCTTTCTGTGCGGCCCGCCAACCTGCTATCACTCTCAAGCAGAGGTCATTTCGGGGGGGAATGCGGAGGATCGCAGTTCCCCCGGGGAGGTATGGGGGCGGGGCACATGACGAAGCCCCGCCCCCTGCTTCCGGCTGCCCCGCTTCCGGCCCTCATTCAGCCAGGAGGAGGCAGGAGAAGAGGGAGGGTAAGTTGCTTCCTCCCTGCCTCTCCCCACCCCTGCCTGCCTGGGGCCAGGGAGGGCCTTCGCGGGGCTTCCTTGCACTCCCGCCGGCCTTGCAGGTCCACCACCGGGCCCCTCATGGGGCTCGGCAGTGGAGCTGCAAGGCCGGCACCATTGGCCGGGACCGTTGGGGGCGGGGTGTGTGGCCTTATGACACACTTCAGATGATGTCAGGGGGTGTGGCCTTATGACACACTTCTGGTTATGTCAGGGGGTGTGGCCTTATGACACACTTCCGGTGATGTCAGGGGGTGTGGCATATGCTAATGAGTTAT